TTATTCATACCTTCGGTGTATAGGACACAAGCAGATTTTGACATCAAATTTTGGGGTAAAAAAGTGCGTCTTATACACCGAAAATACGAGCTTAAGACTAAAGACAATACTACAAATGTGGCCTAACCAATGACCTATACAATGAAATTACAACTCTTTGGACTTGTATTCAATATTTCTGTATATACAACCTAAAATCCGATTTGCCCTGCTACTAGCAACAGTACATTGTGTGGAAGGATTAAAGGACTGATCAACCAGAACACCAAGATCTTTTTCTTCCATAACACTGTTAAGGTTATTCCCATCAAAATTATACTTATTGTTACGACAGCGGAAGTCACACGACGCTGGGAGCATGTGCGCTGGAGTTCCTCGAATGATCATGAATTTGCCCGCCAGCTCAAATGAGATTTAGATGCCCTCTTTTTTTGTATATATAAGCCTGGCAAAAAAAGCCAGCGGCAGATAGATAATTGAGTCTAGTGAACAGTAGGCACTGTAAGTAAAGTGTGTGAATTACTGTGATTTATAGCATGTGTTGTAAAAGTTGTTAAGTTTAGAATTTAGAGGTATGTACTCACTGTGAAATTACTGTGCATTAAAAATTTGTATTGAGGAAGAATAAACTGGGTTAATCAAGAAAGGACTTGTATCACTGAAGTTTCTCCGAAAGAATTTATACAGGAAATTAATAAACAAGCAGATATGGAACAAATTAGTGTCAGAGAGTGGGACGGAAAAGAAAAAATGGAAATGAGAAGTGGCAAATGAAACTACAGCTTAGCAGAATTGATGGCAGCAATACAAGAACAGCAAAAGAAACGAGAAGAACGAGAAAATAAACAAAAAGAGAGACAACAGCAGTGGCAAGAAAACCTGCAACAGTGGCAGCTCGAACAGCAAAATAAACAAGAGAAATTACAGCAGTTGTTGGAGGAAAAAAAAAAGAAACAAGAACAACGAGAAAAGAAACAAGAAGAGACATTACAGCAGTTGTTGGAGGAAAAAAAACTATACAAGAAGAGAGACTATAGCAGTGGTTGGAGGAGAAAGAAAATAAACAAGAAGAGAGACTACAGCAGTGGCAAGAAAACCAGCACCAGTGTCTACTGAAACAAGAAAGGAAACAAGAAGTACAAATGGAAAAGATTAGTAAATTTCAAAGTGAAGATAA